ATATATATATATATATATATATATATATATATATATATATATATATATATATATATTTATACACACATTATATATACAGTATATGTACATATAAAGGCATTTTAAACCCTTCCCACACTCTTGCAATATTCTAAACAATGTTTCTAAACTCTAAACACTCTAAAAGAGCACAGAATGTCATGATCTCAGCTTTCTGACTCCGGCTGCTCTCCGACTCCGGCTGCTCTCCGACTCCGGCTGCTCTCCGACTCTGGCTGCTCTCCGACTCCGGCGGCTCTTTGACTCCGGCCGCTCTCCGACTCCGGCCACTCTCCGACTCCGGCCACTCTCTGACTCTGGCTGCTCTCTGACTCCGGCTGCTCTCTGCCACCTGCCAGCGTTCTCGGCCATTCCCACTTCTCCGCTGCGAAGCGTCGATATGACATGCTACAGGAGGGAGCTTCGTCTGCAGCTGTGGGCTGCACACAGGTGCAGATGCTAAATAATTTTTAAAAAATTAATTTAAAATAAAAATTCCATGCCGATCGTACAGCTCATCCATCAATCAGCCAATTGTGTGTTATCTTACTTTGAAAAACCGTGATAGAGTCTGTGAAAAACGAACCGCGAAGTAACGAGGGACTACTGTATTACCGTACATCTATTACTTTCTGGTCCTCATGTTCTCCACAGCTGCTGCAGATCATTGGGAACATGAAACATTTGAAAGAAACGGGCAGTTTTCAGCCCCTGTGTATCATTTCAAATAACACTTTGCTTTAAGGAGTGGTGGTACAGAGGTTAGAGAAGGTGGGCCTGTGATTGGAAGGTTGCCAGTTCAACTCCCTGGACAGACAAAATCAAAATGTGGGTGAGAAACCTGCCTCCATCTTCATTTGCCCCAATCGAAGCCCTTGAGCAAGGCCCTTAACCCCCACCATCTGCTCCCCCGAGTGGCCTAGATAGCAGCTCTATCTAGCTGAGGTAGCTTGGTGGTCTGTGGTCACTTCAGGAAGGACATCTGGTTTTTGCCAAGTCTTGGTGCAAGTTCTTTCACTGTGGCATTCCCCCAAAGAAGGGAGCAGACGAAAGAAGAAAAAAAAAATCTTGCTTTGCTTTCATTTAGAGTGCTTTAGAGACTACAAGGTTTTTTTTTTTTCTTTCTCTAGACAAGAGTTATGAATGCCTGTGACAAATGTACTTTTCGTCCAATTGGACACAGCAAAATCTGATGTTTGTACTGTGACAGTTCAGAAAGAATACACAGATAAACTCCTAGATCACCGGTAGTCGTTTTCTTTTTAAGTAAGTCAAAAATGCAACTTTGTATTATAATGTGCTTTCTTCTTCAGAGGTAGAACAAATGAAGGCTGGAGTCATGTATTTTTTATCCTTCTAATCTCAACTGGTTAGCTAAAATGAAATATTCAAACTAAACACACAACAAAATGAATTTGACGATTTCCTTTAAATTCAGACATCCTAGTTTAATTTGTTCCCTTTAAAGATAGGAAAGCACCCAAGGTTTACAAGAGAAGACATAAGGCAAATAGAGAGAAATATAACGAAGATAAGGAAAACCAAATCAGAATAGAGAAACATTACTTAAAAGTAGCCATCAAAGAAGTTTGTTAGGTTTTCTCAGCCATTGTGTATACATTTAGCTATAATCACAGTTAAACTATTAATTTTATTCACAGTGGCAAAATGGTTTGACCCCAGTTTGTTCAGGTGCAAACTTTCATACAATACATTTTTTATGGCTGAAATTAAGCACAAAAACAATCGATGTGGGTATATGAAGGGGCGCTTGCCTGAATGAGGTCCAGCTCTACCTATCCTGATGGTCATCTCATCGGAGTCAAAGATCTGGGACGACGAATCCTCTGCTTTCTCCTTGGCTAGCTTGGAGTCAGGCAGCAGAGCCAAGGTAGTGTGGGGGTCACCGCCTACACCCTGATGGTGACAAAACAGAAACACAGAAGCAGATTTAAATCAATGTTAACACATCACAGACTGAATGAGTACAGCTAATTTATGTATAGGTAAATTTATAACCATGCTGAGCTGAAAAGTAAAAGAATATCATCTCATACAAGCGTAGCACAAAGAGTTGAACCATTTCAGCTGAAGTCCTGTAGGCCATTAAAAAAAGAAATACAATATTCTGTTCATTCAGTTTAGAGATTAAAAACTACCAATATATTATGTGGTTCAAACTAAATTATAATAAATGGTTAATGGACTGTACTTCGATTGCACCTTCCCATCTAATCGACACTCAAAGCTCTTTACAACACAATATTTGCCCTTATTTACCTCCACACACACATTTAAACAGACTCTACTACACCACACACATTCCTACAGCACTCTACTACATTTCCTGAAGCATGCTCAATAATCCAGGTAGAAAAATCTAAAAAAGTTAAATCTGGTCCTCTGGACATTCAAAAAACAAAACAAAGCACAAGAACAACAACAACAAAAATGTAGAAACGTTTCGTCTTCCATCCGAAAGACCTTCAGTCTGAGGTGCTGTATTCAGCTCAGTCTTATAAATAGCTGAGTGTAGACTCTGCGGTCTACACTCATCTCCAGGCCAGCGGTCACTCTTTCAGGGATGAAGATGTTCACATCCTGGACAGAGAGGAACGATGGTTTGAGAGAGGAGTAAAGGAGGCCATCTTTGTGAAAAGAAATCGTCCATCATTAAACAGGGGTGGAGGCCTACGTGTTCAACTGTCCCCCTCTTACAATGCTGTTATTGCTAGTATCACTCAACTCCCTGTGAATAGTAAACAGCCATCAGTGTGCTAATGATCCATTGTTAGGCTGATGGTCCTTCTTGATCATGTGAGCAGCTGGTTTTGGTTGTGAGCAGCAAACTGGTTGATCCACTCTGAGAAGGTGCTATTTATAAGACTGAGCTGAATACAGCACCTCAGACTGAGGAAGTCTTTCGGATGAAAGACGAAACGTTTCTACGTTTTTTTTTTGTTTTGCTTTGTTTTGTTTTTTGAATGTCCAGAGGACTAGATTTAACATTTTTAGACTCTACTGCATTCACATTCATATAACATTCTACTACAAGCACATACCAAAAGCACTCTACTACACACATATTCATCAATGAGGGTTTCAGTTTCTTGCCCAGGGACACTTCAACATGTGACTGCTGATGGAATCGAACCCTCAACTCTCCCACTGGAGGATGATCACTCTAAACACTCAGCCACAGCTGCCCCATACTGTCAGTGCACATTTTAATTAAATTACATCAATTCATTTTTGTATCCATTTATTTCTCTTTAGGGTCATGGGTCTGTCTCCAGTTGTTAATAAGCAAAATAAACAAGTTGCATGTCCATTCACATCTCACACCTAGAATAGCTAGAACCAGCCACGAAGAGTATGTTGCTGAAATAAATGTCTGTAATGCACTGAGTGTATGTTATGAAAAACACAACGGTAGTGTTCTGATGTTTTAAAATAAAACCTACAGGTACTATTAATGAAAATTATGCAATGCTACAGGTGTTGGGTGTTGTGAGTCCTGAATTAGAAACATATTTAATAATATAAGTGCCAAAAATAGGGCAGCACACTGGCACAGTTGGTAGAGCTGCTGCCTCTCAGTGTGAAGGTCACCACAGTACCAATCCCAGCCTCGGGGCATTTCTCGGTGGGGTTTGCATGTTCTCTCCGAGCATGCATGGATTTTCTCCGGGTACTCCAGTTTCATCCCACTGGGAAGTTAATGTTAGTTATTAATTACCAGAAAACTGTCCCTTTATGAGATTCTCCAAACGTCCCATCTAAGCTTGAATGAATGGACTCTATTGGTTGAAGATTAAGGACTGCACAGCAGAGTAGATGTGTTATCTGGCAGCAAGAAGCTCATGGGTTTGTTCTTCTTGTGCATGAGTAGGGTTTTCTCAGGTAACTTGATTTCCTCCCATAATCCAAAAACATGCATGCTTGAGTAACTGGCAAGGCTGATTGTTTTTATGTTTCTGCAGGGTGGTTTGACATGTACGTCTTGGTCCTGTGATGAACTAGCAACGTGCCCAGGGTGCAATCCACCGCTGACCTGCTGACTGAAGGATGGTGAAGGGTCTTGTGGGAAAATAAGATATACTGATCAGTGGTTGAGATGTCGTCATAGGTGTAACAGAGTTGTCATGTATGTTATGTATATTACATATCTGCTATGCCACATGGCTCTTAAAGTGATAAGGCCCTCCAGTTATAAAGAAACTGATGGTATTGCTCTTTCTTGCTGATAAGGTTGTCTAAAAGGTTTACAATCTTAGGTTAGACAGATTCTGCTGTTTAGAACCATCTGATGCCAAGGATCAGCCAAATTTATTTGTAATAAATTGCTAAAAATAAACAATCTGGGATTTCCTGTCACTTTATCCTTTTGCCATTGCAAAGAATGCCAAGTGGATACAACCTGTATCCACAGTATGGGTAAATAAATCTGAAGGTCATGGGCAAATCTGTATGTGACTCTGTTACAGTATAGTTAATTTACAACCAAGCCCACATACAAATCAAGATACAAGAATCGGTCTCTGATTTAAATTAGAGAGATGAAACTATCTCAGCCTGGAGATAAGGACAAAATATTAGTGCATTTAAGATATATCTCTTTGGCTGGCTATTGATAGATGTAAGGGTTGTTACTTCTTTTGTGTGGGAGCTTAAAAATGTTTTGTGATTGAGAAGTGAAACACTCATATATTGGGCGTGGAGTGTTATAGGATTTTTTTTGTCTCAACCATCAATAAAAATAATACTGTAAATAAGATAGGATATGTAATATAGGTAATATTATGCATGCTAGCCTTTAAATATTTTGATCTTGAAACTAAAAGTGCTAAATTTTCATGTTCCAAGGACAAGGGTGAGTCATCCACATGCAAACAACAAGAGAATACCAATGAGTCATTCTTTTTCAGCCCTAACTGGTATCAGGTGTGCTCTGCTTCTAAATTGTCTCCCAGTACCTCAGTTTATTAGCAGGAGCATAGTTGGTCACAATTAACCCATTCACCTTGGCAGTTATCATCAGTACCCATGTGCTCAATTCAAATTTGCACAGTAATGGAATGCATTTATAATTTATAATAACAGCCAGTGTCGACTTCTTGCAGCAGCAATAGTCCACTGCCAGTGTCTACAGACTAGTTGACAAATACAAATTAATCAGCACAGTAAATCTTTTGTTATTATATGAGCAAGCACTAATTTAACTACTTATACACTGGAACTGTGTGCGTGTGCTCATTAGTCTACAGTGTTAACAAGAGATCTCATGAAATGGTGGTTGCTTTTCATGAAACTTACAAAGTAATCATTGGAAGTACATCTAGAACGAAGAACCTTCTGAGGTCAAAACAATTCAAGTTGGCTTTCCTGTCTTTATTAGCCTTAGTAAACCAAAAGTTGCTATACTGTAACTGCCCATTTTTTGAGACAATGAGTTAAGATTTGATGTGGTAGCAGCCAAAAATCACTCGCATGACACAGTATTTTGAGCACTAAAATATGATGCAAGATTTTGCAATGATACGTGACATCTTGCCATTTTTCAAAGTTGATCAGATCTCTCAATTTTCAAAATAAGGTGTTCGTAGTTTAAAACATGAAAGGAGGTGGACAATATGCATTCCTTCAAGGAATAAAAAGGCTCAAGGCAATTTCTCTGGATCATGCTCACTTGCAACCTGTAGCTCAGCATTGATGTATTTTTTTCTCAGACTGCAAGTTTTACACAAGATGTGTGTCATGGGTCTTTCCTGGAGTCTCCACTCAGTTGGACATGCCCAGAGATGTCCAGTGGGGATCCTTGCTGAACCATCTCACCTGGTGCCTTTTGACATGGAGGAGGAGGGGCACTACTCCCGGTCCTGTCCGGATAACCAAACTGCTCACCCTAAGCAAGAGCACAGCTACGCTGTGGGAAAAAGTCATTTCGACCCCCTTTACTTAGAATCTTATTCTTTTGGTCACCACCTAGACTTTGTGAGCATAGGTGAGGGTAGGAACAAACAACCAACCAATAGACAGAGAGATTTGTCTTACAGCTCAGTGTCCTCAGCCACAACTGACTGGCAAAGTGTGCAGTACTGTGAAATCTGCTCGAATCTGTGATGATCTCACACTCCATTCTTCTTTCACTTGTGAACAAAACCTTGAAATACGTGAAGACTTTCACTCCAGACAAAACACTACCCACAACCAGGAGAGGGCAGCAGCTTTATTCTCCGCTGCAAATTGCCCAGGTGAGAATTGGAGATTACAAAGCGATAATGCCAACAGAGCCACATCATCTACAAAGAGGAGAATCCTAAGGCCATTGAACTAGACTCTCACTGAACTCCTTCCACTCCTGAGTCTTTGCATTAGAAAGAGCCAGGGCTGCGGCTAGCCTAGCCTGTGGATACCCCTCAGCTGTCTCTAGAATCCTACCAGCTAAAAAAGCCTGATAGGACTTCTTGAGATTAACATGCTTGCAAATTAGTTTTTTTTAATAGAGATTAACTCATTATTGTTATTATTATTCAAACATTGTATAGAGGTTAACTTTGCTTTTCAATAAATCACACAAAAAATAACTAAATGTATTTTATTTCTGAGATTTTATGCTGACCTGCAACATCATGCAAATTTCATTTTACTACCAAAATGGCAGGGTGTGTATACAATAATTTTAATTATCACTGTTGAGTACTTGTAAATGCTGTTTTTGTTCAAGACTGAAATTGCTAGAAGGGATTGAACATTTTAAAGTAGTGTTCAACAATAGTAAATGACAGAAACACCTTTAAAATTGTAGTAATCTGTTATCGTGTTCCTTAAATGCGACCTTAATAATCAGTAGGGAAGTAGTGACTTTGGCAGGCTATTAAAACATGAGGGACAACTACATTTGAATTAATGCTGAAGTTTTAACACATCAATGACTTTATTAATGGAAGGATGTTAATTACAAAGAGCAGACAGCTTGGAAGCGACCAATCTGTGATGTTAGTGTTAAACACTTGTTTTGTGGTACTTTACAGACTAAAACCTGCTCTATCCCTTTGCAGATGAAATACAAATAGAGATGGAGACCAGTTATGTCAGAGTTCCACTTCTTTTTAAACAACAAACTTTAATACAGACCATGAATATGAGCACCAATTTATCTTCATAAACTATCCGAGGCTAACAATTATATGCTAAACAATGAATCACAAACAGATACCTTAATTGAGTGATTTTAAACATTTGGCAAACAGCATGTATATTCATTGGTAAATCATTAGTTGAGTAATGTCTGGGGGGGGGGGGGGGGGGGGGATAACAACTTGCATTAATTTTATCTGCTCTGAATCATCTAGTAATATTTGCATCACAGATGATCTAAAAGCAGTTAGAGTGCTTTAAAGGTTTCAGTGTGCCAGACTGTAGAGTACACAAAATAAATCTCAGTTAAATTAAATGTTGCGGGGCCTGAAATAAGTGGTGCCTTAATAAATGACTGCAAACTCAAGCAAAGCAGTACACAATCATGGGCCAAAATCCCTCCACTATGATCCAAGAGACTGAAAACAGGAGCCAAGATGGCTGTAAAAGCTAATGAACCATGTGGCGTATTTAGGTTTCCACTCTAATTCTGTATTTTGAGTCAGTTTATGTTCAGTGTGTAGTTGTTGCAAAATGTTAACAGTAACACAAGATGCTTCTTTTCTATGAAGCGACAAACCAAACCTTGGAAATGAAAGAAGCACTACACTGCTTTTGTTTTCTTCTTGTGATAGTCACAAATATCTGCATGAATAGGATTTTGCATTAGGTGATGTGATGCATTCGTATGTAAATATTAATTATAAACAGACTTTCTCGGTGCAGCCAGGAGACAAAGGGATTCCAGTTTGGTGGCCTCAGGATTCCAACTCTGATCTTTGCGGTGTTGTGCCGTGATCCCCAGCTCTCAATGGAGCGGTTCACAGCAGAGTGTAAAGCGGCTGGGATGATGATCAACACCTCCAAATCTTAGGCCATGGTCCTCAGTTGGAAAAGGGTAGATTGCTCTCTTCGGGTTGAGGGTGAGTTTCTGCCTTAAGTGAAGGAGTTCAAGTATCTCAGGGATTTGTTCATGAGTGAGGGAAGAATGGAGCGTGAGATACAGATGGACTGGTGCAGCGTCTGTAGTATTGCAGACTCTGCGCTGGTCCATTGTAGTGAAGAGGGAACTAAGCTGTAAGGCAAAGCTCTCTGTATACCAGTCAGTCTACGTTCCTACCCTCACCTTGATCATGAACTCTGGGTAGTGACAGAAAGAATGAGATTGCAGAAACAGGTGGTTGAAATGAGTTTCCTCTGCAAGGTAACTGGACTCTCTCAGAGATAGGGTGAGAAGTTCAGTTATCTGGAAGAAATGGAGTAGAACCGCTGCTCCTCCACAGCAAGAGGAGCCATTGAGGTGGTCCATCTAATAAGGATACTCCCTGAGCGTCTCCCTAGGGAGGTGCTTTGGGCATGTTCAACTGGGAGAGACCCTGGGGAAGACCCAGGACACGCTGGAGAGACTATGTCTCTCAGTTGGCCTGGGAACACCTGGCGGTCCTCCCAGCAGATCTGGAAGAGGTGGCTGTGGAAAGAGATGTCTGGGTGTCCCTGCTAAGATGCTGCTCCCGAGACCCGACTTCAGAACAAGAGGAAGATAATGGATGGATGGATACATTCTAATTTGAAGGGTGCCAATGCATTTATACACTTTCATAACGGTTTGTCCATTATTCTAGCATTTTTAAGACATATTTTGCTTGAAGAAGTAAAAAAATTATCAGTGTTCTGAAAGCATGCTCATCTGGGAACATGATGTCTGTTTCAATCTTGTATCCTACCTTTCCATAAAGATAACTAGAAATATGTTTTTAGCGACATCTTCAGTTTAAATTTGCACAACAAATTCATTACTCCTCCCACAGTTTTAGAAAAACTCATTCAGAAAAATACATCAAAATGCAAAGCTTGTTCAAGAATGGTCTTAATAGCAGTACATTTTACATTTGTCAGATTTATACATGTCCAGAGGAGGGACAGTGGTTTGGACATGTCCAGAGGAGGGACAGTGGTTTGGACATGTCCAGAGGGGGGACAGTGGGTATACTGGTAAAAGGACGTTAGAAATGCAGCTGCCAGGAAAAAGACAAATAGAAGATATATGGATGCAGGTAGAGATGACATGGAGGTAGTTGGAGTGAGGACAGAGTGAGATGAAGAAGGATGACTCGCTGTGGTGACCCCAAAAAGGGAAAGGCTGAAAGAAGAAGAAAGAAAGCATATTTTAATGTACGGTTGCAACGGCTTCAACAAAAAAGAAACCGTGCAAAGGACCTGACTTAACTTGGTTGGATTTTTCTACTTGGATTATTGAGCATGAACTTTGATGTTTTGAACCAGTTTGGCCATGACTGTCTGAAACGAGTTGGCGGGGGAGAAAGCGAACTCCAGAAAACACCAGAGCACCATGAATCTTGTTGGCCCACTATGAGAAAGTGCTATTTATAAGACTTAGTTTGTTGTGGCTCCTTAGGCTGATCTAGTTTTGGATGAAAGACAAAACATTTCAACACAAAGAAACAGTCCAGAGGAATTCACTTAACTTTGGTCGATATTTTAATGTAGATAAGATAAAATCAAAATTTGCTAAAATAAATAAATAGAGAAAAAGAAACAAGTACTGCTAAAAAAATATAAATACACACTGAAATATGGGCAAGTTTGAACAAGTTTACAGTGAAACTTTCCAGTAGAAGCATTATTCATAAATTTAAATGTGGAAAAGGAAGGTGGACTTTACATGACTGAACAGTAATTTGGATATTGCTTCTTGTTGCTGAGTGAAGAGGGGAAATTGGAAATGCCCTTCATCCTTCTGTGTTGTGAGCAAGATAACTTGAAAAAAAGGTGAGGAACTGACTTCCATTTTGGTGTGTGGCTGCATAACGGAATAATTAAGGTTCCTTTTGAAAATTGGACTGCCATGTAAAAATCAATTAACTTTTATCATCCACTGCTGTCTCTGACACTGTAAGACTGTCTGTAATGTGACAACAATGTAAGTAAACACAACTCAAAATGGTTCCTAAATCACCAATAAAGCATTCATGTACTCTTTAGGGGTGAGCTTTCAGAAATTAATCTGGTCCATCAGAACCAAAGGGGTAGCGCAGAACTCTGCTGTGCTGAAGCAGAGTGATGCATTCAATGTGTGTCGGACATTTACCTTATGTCATTCACTTTCATAAATTAACTCAATTTAATGATCTTCTTTGTGGTTAACTACTTTTATAACCTAACAACAAAGTTGCTGTGTGTCATCATCAATATTCTCTCAGTAATAGATCTATTTGTATTAAAGTAAAGAGGTGTGAAGAAATGTGTGAGAGAGTCACGTTCCAGAGACAGCGTGAGTGTTCCAAAGGAATTACGTGTGCAATGTTTCTGAATGTTTCTAAGTGTGAAAATGGGTTTTTCATGTTATTTTCCTGTTCTGGCTTGGCAATATTTATGTTAAAGTCTCTGTTAATGGCTGTAAATTGACACGAGTCAGAGACTGTTTGAGGTAGATATGAGGGGAAAAGCACTGCAAAGGAAGTGACATCCCCGGGTTGTGCTTAGGTTTGCTAAGCCCTGCATAGCATAGCTCTGTGAAAATCCCCATTCTTATATATGCCTTTAGTGTGGAAAACAGTATTTAAAAAAAAAAAAAAATAGCAGACTTGAATTTAAATTTAGGCGGAGCTAATATCGCTAAAGGTTTTCAAAGTTAGTGAAAATGCTAAAGCGCTACATGGAAAGACAGTTCCACTACTTGCAGATTAGCAGACGTGTGTCCACCACTGTACATGTCTGTTCTTATTATACACAGTGCAACATTTACCCACTTCAAATTCTAGCACCCAAAACATAAAGATACA